CTGAACTAAATCCCTGGCCCCCAACATTTATTGTGAAGGCAACCTCACCGAGGGCAGCACTACATGCTCCCAACTGCCCCCACCAAATCAGTATTCTCTTTCCTTAAACCTTTCTGTCCCCGGGCCAGGGATTTAGCTCAGTGGTTTCACCGCCTGCTGCGCAAGCGCAAGGACCTGAGTTCAATCCCCGATACCAAAAAAACAAAAAACCTTTCTGTCCTAGGGAAGCTGTGTCCTCTCATAGAGCAGAGATGGGCCAGCTAAAGGATCAATGTAGAAGTGCCTTATTACTTCTACCTATATCCTCAGTTACCCAGGGCACAGGGACAGGATCTTCTTTGCCTGCCTGTGGAGGCGGAAGCTGTTTACAATGGAAGGATTCTGAGGCCAAATCAGATAAAAGTTAGAGGGAGGAGGACCCAAATGTGTTAATTCAAACAAAAGGAGAAAAAAATCTGAAAATGAAAAGGCAGGTTCCAGAGGCCCACATGTTTATGGTACCAACAAGCAAAGCTGGAGATGGGAACAAAAGCAAATAGATAATTGCATTAGACAATGCTGGCAGTCATCCAGAGAGCACCCTGTATTCAGGGCAGGACTAAACACAGTCCAGTTTCAAGAGGTAGGTTTGCGCTCTCCCGAATGGCTGGGATGGGTCTAAGAAGGTAAGTACCCAAAGAGAGATGGATTGTTAGGAAAGGCACCAGCCTTCAGATGAGATCTGAGGATGCAGGTTGGCAAGTCTACAAGGTAGCAAGAAATGATCTCACCCTGTCCCCCACAAAGATAGCAATGACTCAAGTTAACAGAGCCGTGGCTCTATACAAGACAATAGGGACAAGGGACTAGAAGAAGCAGTAACAGAAATGGTGCCACAAATAGTCATGGAATGGGGAGCAGTATTCTTTGGCCACACTAGAACTAGCTCAATCCACTTAGGAGGGAAATTTGAATCCTAGTGCTTGAGCCCTGTATACCTCCATGGAGGGCATCATTAGAAATTCTAGAAAGTATTAGCATCATCATGAAAGCTCCCCCAGAGGCCAAACTCATGGAGAAGATAGACACAGCATCTAATTATTTTAGATTGCCTATCCTGGTCCCTTCCACCTCTATACCCCTAGTTCCTCCAAACTCATTATATAATGAATTCATTTCCCTCTCAATATGGTTGAGCATGTTTTCATATGTTTATTGATAATTTCCATTTTCTCTTTGGAGAACTACTTACATGTTTTCCTACTTTTTTCATTAGACTTTACTTTTTTTCAATTGGTATTAAGCCTTTGTCATGTGTTATATTTTTTCCTGTTGTCTTTGGATTTTACTTACAGAGAAATATTTCTCTTTCTTCTTTTTTGTTTTGGTACTGGGGATTGAACTCATGACCTTCACACTAATCTATATCCCCAACCCATTTATTATTATTATTAATTATCTTGGTACCAGGGATCAATCTCAGGACCTTCCACTTGTGAGGCAGGTGGTGGCACCACTGCCATAGGTACTTACCTTTTCAGACCTATCCCAGCCATTTGGGAGAGCACAAACTTACCTCTTGAAACTGGATTGTGTTTAGTCCTGTCCTGAATACAGGGTCCTCTCTGGATGACTACCAGCATTGTCTAGTGCAGGGTAAATCCCCAGCACCCCCATTTTTTATTTTGACACAGGGTCTTGCTAAGTCCCTAAGTTGTCCGGGCCGGGCTCAAAATTGTGACCTTCCTGCTTCAGCCTCCCAGAATGCTGTGATTACAGGCCCATGCCATCATGCCCAGAACATGTTTTCTTTTTAAAATTTTTTCCTTCTTTTTTTAATAGCAAAACATTTACTGGTACATTTTGGGCATACATAATGATAACACTCATCATAGGATATTTGCACATGTACATGATACCTCCCTCCTCTTTTTTACCATTCCCCTTTTCCCTTCAGGCCCTCTCCCCGCCCTATATACAACAGCTTTGTTTCCATTTTTTCATTCTATTTTCACTTTTTTTTCTTGTCCCTTCCTTCCTTTCTCCCTCCCCCCCCTCTTGTTCCCCTTGTCATATGAACATTTTCTCCCATTTCCCAATATCTATTATACATTTTAGTCCTTATTTCTGCTTTTGGTTTCTCACATTAGAGAAACAATGTGGTATTTAAACATGTGTATCCAATTTATTTTGTTTAAGAATATGGTCTTTCTTGGGCCAGGGATTTAGCTCAGTGGTGCTGCTCAGTGGTGCTGCACCTGCCTTGAAAGTGCAAAGTCCAATAATATTAAAAAAAGAAAAAAGAAAGTGCAAAGTCCTGAGTTCCATCCCTGGTACCAAAAATAAATAAA